GAGTTGGTTCCAACCCATAGCAACCCTGTACAGGGTTTCCGAGGCTGTAAATCTTTACGGGAGTAGAAAGCCTCATCTTTCTCCCACGGAGCAGATGGTAGTTTCGAACTGCTGGCCTTAAGGTTCGCAGCCCAATTCGTAACCACTACGCTACCATATATATATAGAGAGAGAGAGAGAGTCATGGTGTGACAATAAAGGATAAGCACTGGACCGAAAGGTCGGTTTGAACCATTGAACCACAAGGTCTGTTTGAACCGCACAGTCAGTGGTTCAAACCCACCAGCCACTCCTCAGAAACCCTATACAGGATCACCATGAGTCAGAACTGACTCGACAGCACTTAGCAACAACAAACAAAAACAAAAACACAGTTGTCATGGAGTTGACTACAACTCGTGCTGACCCCAAGTGTGTCAGAGTAGAACTGTACTCCATAGAGTTTCCAATGGCTAAATTTTGGAAAGTAGATTTCCAAATCTTTCTTCCAAAGTCCCTCTGGTGGACTCAAGCTTCCAACCTTTCACACATGTTCCTAAATGCCTGGCATCCATTTATACTCTGATCAGTGGGGTCTGAGAGGACATCAGGACTCAGTGATCACGTGAAATGAGTTCACTGATAATCACTAGGATGGATCTCTTATAAGAGAGGAGACTCTAGAACTGAATTTATTACAGAAGAGAGGAGGGTGGTTTGAAATAAGGGAGCATCTTGAAGTGGGGCAGGGACGTGCAAGAGCTCAGTGGTTGTGGGAGAGGAATCCACCGAAGTGTGTGCAAAGGACTGTAAGCAGATTTGCATAGATGACTTTAAACTGGAACTGAAAGGAAATGTAGAAGTCCAGAATTTCGTCTTTATAAAAAACAACCATTTTAGGCATCATAACTAGTCAGTATATCAACTGCCCTGGAAGGGGTCCCATTAGAAGGTCCCAGATAGAGTGGGAGAAAATGTGGAACAAAATACAAATTATTAAAGAAAAAGACTGGGTTTACTAGTCAGAAAGAGACTGGGGGAACCAGAGACTATAGCCCTCAACTACCCTTCAGGTCTGGAAAGAACTCATCCTTGTGGTAAATCTTTGGCCAGGCAATAGATAGGTATAGAACAGGGACAACAACACTCGAAAGGTATGCTCACTATAGAAAAGGTAATCATTCCAAATCAAAAGGGCAACATTTTTCTAAGGAGAAAGTTGAGAAGGGATAAGGTGGGTGAAATGCAAATAGGAACCATCTGGAGGAAGCAGGATAACTGTTGTTATATGGAAGGATTGTAAATATGGAATTGAAACACAATGTATGGATATGTTAAATGTAAAGCTGATGATCTTGCCTGTAAAACTTTACTCAATTCACAATCAAAAACTTTTAAAAAAACAAGAAACAACAATTAGTCACCGGGAAAATACAAATCAAGACCACATGAGATACTCTTTTACGCTATCCAAATGGCAACAGTTAATTCTGATGGAACCTAGTGTTAAAGGGGAGGTAAATAGAATCCTTTATACACTACTGAGTTTAGA